GCGAGTTGCAGCGCGGTGAGGCCCGCCCGGTTGGTGCGGTCGAGGCGCAGGCCGAGGCGGCGGAAGGAGCGCACCAGGAACTCGAGCACCGCCCCGTGGCCGCAAGCCGCCGCCCACATGACCGGGCTGTTCCCTGCCGAGTCGGCAGCCTCGGGGTCGCCGCTGTATTGCACCAGTAGCTGCACGGCGTCCAGGTGGCCGCGCTCGCATGCCAAGCTGAGTGCCGTGCGACCGCGCTCGTCCCGTAGGTTCACGGCGGCACCTTGCTCGAGCAGCAACCGCACGAAGCGCGAGCGCAGCGCAGGGTCCGGCAGCCCGACTGCCACCATAAGCGGCGTGCGGCCCTGCTCCGCGCGGCAGTCAATGATGCTGCGGTCCAGCGCGTCCAGCACAAAGCGGGCCAGGTGCACTTTGCCCGCCTCCATGGCTTCCAAGAAGGTGCGCGTGCCCGCTCGGGGACACAGGTCTTTGGGCTTGAGCATGGTCCCAGCCGCCGTACCCCGGAGGTCCGGCAGCTCCGCACGGGGGCGCCCCTGTTCCCGCGCCCCGCCGGGCTCCGGCCCCCACCTACGCCCTGGTACGGCTCCCTCCACGCGTGGGCGGCCGCAGTCGAGGGTCTCAGGGTTGCCACTCGGTCCTCTCCGGCGGCCTGTCGCTCCTGGGCCGCACGCTTGGCACCTCGCTGCTCTTTTCCCGGGCTTCCCGCCGCGAGGTGTTGGCTGCTCGAGATTCAGGCTCCACGCCTGACACAACCGAAGCTCAGTCCCCTTCTGAGTCTCCTGCAGCTTTGCCCGTGTCCGGCGCCCCTCAGTCCCTGGTGGCTTGGAGCCACGCCACTCACCCGCAGCCGGGGCAGCCCCCGCTCCCCTGCTGAGACGGTGGCGCCCGCCTAGCGCTCCTGCCTCCAGCCCTGGCGGGGCGCGCCGCTCCTCAAGCTGCTGGCGCCGCTCCTCCTCCTCCTCCCCTCCAGCGGGGGCCGAGCCACGCCGGGGCGCTTGCTCCTTTACTTGGGGGGCTCAGCACCGAGGGAGCCGCGGCTGGCTTGAGTACCTGGCTTTATAGCCTTGGGGGTCTCCATGGTAATGGCTGCCCTGGAAGCGGGCTGAGCCGTCAGGGCAGCAGCTACGACAGGATGGAGGCGACAGCCCCAGACCCCCACCCCTCCCGTGGGCCAGGGAGTTGAGGAGCGGCTCCTCCTCCGCGCTCCCCTGGGGCTGCGGCGGCGGTTGCGGGGCGGGGGCGGGGGCTGCTCGCCGGGGGCCACATGCACCCGACCGGGCCAATCCCAAAGTGGCAGGCTTATCTCCCCGCCCTCCGCCCCCACCCAAATCGGTATCCTTGGCTCCTTAGAAACTCAAGAGACCGTCGGGGAAGACCGAGAGCTGCCCCTAGCGGTTCAGAGTGGAGGGAAATTGATCCCCATGAGGGAGAACTGGACCCTGTGCGAGCTGAGTGCGGCAGAAAAAGGCGGGTGCAGGGGTAACTTGGGGGAGAGGGCGCCAGCGCCGCGCGGGGGCGAGGGGCGCTCAGTCTGGCTGGGAACTGCCACTCTAAGTACAGCGAATCACGCACACACAATTGTTCCTCTTGAACACATTCACTCGGAACGGAGGGTGAGTGGGAGAAGAGTGAGCTCGCCAACTGCAAACGTCTCCAAGCCCGACAATGCTCCACGCGTGTCAGCTTCAGGCGGAGCGCAGACGCGGCGGGCGCATTAGCAACTATAAGGCTCCGCTTTTTCATTACTTTATGGTTGTCACCACGCATGATTTCTCCACGAAATGTTTTTGTTTTTTTCTCTTGAACACAAAACCATTCCCAAATCCCCAGGGCTCTGGCCCTGACCACTAGCTGACCCATTCAGAGAGTAAGGAAAAGGGAAATCAATAAGGCATGGAAATACCACTACTTGCCTTCTCCCCCTTCAGCCAGCCAGCCGCCTGGCACTGTCTAGGTGGGGAAAGAGGCGGGACTTGTGAAGTAAGAAGGCCTCTGTGGGAGTCAGACTCTCGCAGAGCTTGGAGTCTGGTACAAGTCAGGAGGGTGGCAATGGGTATTTGTGCACCATGTATCCATTTCAGAATTAATGGAGCCTTTTTAAAAAAAGAAACAAAGAACCTTTTGCATTGTTCCTTCCCATGAAAGAGAAAGTTGAAGCTCTGTCCTGGACTTGAAGAAACCAAAGGCATAAAGCAGGAAGGTCAAGACATAAAGGGTTAGTTTATCTCATGAAGGCTGAATATCTCTGCTAAATGCAAAACCAAGACAGTTTCTAGAGGACAAGATGTAGCTGTGGAGTGGAGAGGGAGGGCTCTGGAGTCTTTTGAAGGTGGAACTGCTGTGTTGGTTCTTGCAAGATATCCAGGATCTGGCTGCTGAGAAAGAGGGTAACTGGTCTAGACAGGCAGGAAGACAAAGCAGGCCCTTCTAGGGAATGGTGAGGATGGAGAACTTTAAGGGATTCCTTCTGAGAGAGGAGCTCTGGTGGCCTGAGGGTGGGAGTTACACTGTCAACTCAAAGGCATTCAATTCTACCAGCCAGCCATTCCATAGGAGCAAGATGGGTAATCATCTCTGTTGTGATTTACAGCAATAAGTTGGTTCCCACTGGACAACAATGAGACTTTTCTAATCTGGTAAGATACGAGAGTTGTCCCTAGGCAGTACTAACCAAAGGAGTGGAGGTTTGTCTCCATCCATCCAGAAGCACCTTGGAAGAGAGTCCTGGCAACCTAGTTCCAAAAAACCAGCCATTGAAAACCCTGTGGGGGCACAGCTCTGCTCTGCCATGCATGGAGTTAGACTCCACTACGCTGGCGTAATCAACTTTCTGGCAACTGATTTTGGTTCCAATAAGATGATAAATTAAGAAGGAATGACTGTGTCTTCAGCCTAGGCAAAGCAGTGATAGACTTTGCAGCAGGGTCCACTTGAGAAAGGATATGGGAGGGAGAAAATCAGCCTCTGGGCAGAAGCATGGGTGAATGGCCCTGTACCCTGAGCCTCTTGCTCCCCTGGATATGGGGTCCAGTCTAGACAGCACGAGCTTTCTCTCCTGATTCATGAGGCAAATGTAGTGGATACCTGCCTATACTGTGAGTCTGATCCCCCACCCTACCAATTTTTTTTTCCATTTTAAAACCCATGGTGAGAACTTTTGATAGTTTCCTCTCACAGTATCACAAAAAGAGCATTGCATTTGACGTCAAAGTTAAGGCATTTACTCCGGGCCTGCATATTCTCATCTGCAAAATGAAGCTGATAATACTAGCCCTGCCTGATCTCACAAGATCCAAAAGGAGCAGGTCTGGGAAAGAGCTGCACAGATATTCAGAGTGCAGTCCTCAAAGTGGGCCCTGCTCCCCGAGGGCTGCCTGAGGACTCGTACAGGGGCCCTTGTGACAGTTAAGCCAAAGGAGCCAGCTGCTTCCCTCTTTCCACCTCAGGGAGGTAGATTCCTCCTGGGGCAGTTAGTGACAGGCATAGACTCCCCTGTGACCCTCCAGATCTAGTCGGAGGGTTCCTTCTTAACTGAAGTTGTAGAAGAAAGGTTTTTCCTCAGGCCTTTATGTTTCAAGATTTCTTTTCTGAAACAGGAAGATTGCTTTCTTCCTTTCTTTCTGCTTCCAGGGTCAGGGAATCTGTGTGAGGCTAGTCTGAGAGCCAGGCTGTACCCCTTCACTCCCTATGGAGCAGAGAGGCAGCACGAACTTGGAATGGGCATCTCCTTGGTCTGAAGAGCCAGGCCCCCTCCTCCTGCCCCACCCTCAAGATGGAAATGCTGTGCCTTGTTGTGGTTGGAGACAGACCCTGGGAAGAGGAGGGGCACAGGTGGCCCAGCCAGGACAAGGTGACGACCTGAATGGGCCAGATGGATCTTGGGACTTGGTACCCTTTAGAGGGAGCACCCAGTTCCATTCACAACAGCTGGTTGCATCATCCCTCTGGCCAGGCCTATGGCCAGGTTGGGGTATGGGCGCTAGCTCTCAGGCCTTGAAGCTTTTGCTCTGACTTCTCTGTGGGCTCAGTATGTTCTGAACAGAAAAGAAATAGCAAAGCTGAAAAAAAGCTGAGACTTTGCTGCAGAGCACAGAGGCACCAACAGCCGGAATTAGAAGCTGTCGCTTAGGGAGCTGAAGGCTGACAGGCGATGGAGCAGAGGCAGTCAGGGGGCAGGCAGGCACTCCACACTCCTCCTCCCTCCCACCAGCTGAGCCTCTGCGCCTGCAGGTCCCAGACTGGCAAAAGGGCTTTCTCCCAGAACTGCCTCTGGTCCCAGTCTGTCACTCTTCGGTCTGTCTGCAGCTGTCCCCCACTCCACACTTTTCTTTCCTTCTCAAGTGTCACCAGCCCCCTCACCCTGTCACGTTGCACTAACTTGGCAGGGTTGGGCCTGTTGGCACGTGGCTGGGAGTTCCAGAGAACGACTGGTGGGGGCCAGGGGAGAGGTGAGTCAGCAGGGAACTCTGGCATCTGAGTCACCAATGGGATTGGCATGAGGGTAGGGGCACTTGTCTTTAGATAAGGTGAAACCAAGGCATGACAGATGAAGAGAAATCTTGCTCCAGCCCCTAGATGTACAGCAGGAATGGGGTCCAGGTGCCCTTCACCTGCCCTGTGCCCTGAGGAAAGACATCACCTCTTCCTCACAGTCAGAGATAAATGCATCTCCAGGGTCCAGGTATACTTCCAAGGGGTGCCCTATCTTTTTTTAGTGATCAAAAAGCAGTGAATGGATGAGGCCTCATGGAAAGCCCTAGTCAGCTGTGCAGAGACCTCTCCAGGAGGCAAGATGTATTCTGTTCAACCTTCCTGGACTGCCCAGCTTCACATCGGGTACACAGAGATGCTGCCTCAACCTGCCTTCAAGGAAGGGAAGGCAGCCTCTCCTCCTGATCAGTCACTGGCAAAAGTGAGTCTCTCCTCTGATCAGATCCCCATCCCTAGAGTTCCATGCAAGTGGGAAAGTTGAGAGACTGGAGGGCTGGTGTTCCTGAGCCTGTGTGCCCTGTCCTCAGCTGCAGGTGAGGTGTGAGGCGGGCTGGTCCATGGCAAGCCTTACTCTTGTGAAGAAGCAGTACTCCCTGACCTCACCCTGCAGTGAGGGATGGGTAGACTCCCAGAGGCCAGGCCCCCAGGGGTCAGAGTGGAACAAACACCTGCTGATTTTCCAAAACCACAGATGTTCTAATGGTATCTGTTGTAACTTTCTGATAGGAAAACAACCTCTTCCCAGAATCTATTCCCACTGTGCCTCTCCCAAACCAGTGCCCGTCCTCATTTGGGACTTGGGGCACAGGCCCCTGGACAGAAAGTTTTGGGGCCAGACATAGCTGCTTCAGGGCCTGCACGTCTCCCCCAGCCTGACAACTCTGTGGGTCCTAAAGAGGCAAGGACTTGAAGAATTGGGACTCCCCCATGCGGCAAGGGACATTTTGCTCTTCTGCTCTAACTTTGAGGGTGAAGACAAGGAAGGGACTCATTTGGGTAGGGGGTTCGGGAGAGAGGTGACATCATTTTCTACTGGTATGCTATCATGCTAGCAGAAGGGGAAGTGCGTTCTCTTCAAGCCCTAGGCAGGGCCGGCCTCCTCTGGGCTCTGGAAAGGTCCTCACTTTGAGGTCCCAACAGTTTTTTCCAACCCACTTCCTCTTGATGGCCCTCCACTCACCCTGAGCTTGAGCTGTGCGCATGTATGTATGTGTACACACACACACACACACACACACACACACACACACACCATTTCCTAGTTAAAAACAGAGGCCAGACTTAGACAGAAAATATCCAGATAGGATTCTTTAGTAAGAGTAGGGAAGGGAAAAAAAATAAATAAACCTCACACATTCAAGAGAGAAAATAATGCTGTCCTTGCCCACAGTCAGACTGGGGTGCATGCTAGGACAGACCCTTTAAGGCCTAGGAGTAGGGGTGAGCCAAGCTCAGGGACAGGACCCTCTCTCAGTTCTAGACTGAACCCCACACATCTTAGCAGCCTTAAGACCAGACAGCTAAGGCAGCTTTTCCATGTCAGTCACCCGACCCACCCCCCCTCCCCACAAGCAAGAGGAAAGGGCAGAGACCTCAGCCTGGGATCCTGGGAGCAACTGTTCCCTGGGGAGTTTGGAAGTAGTGTCAAACTCATCTTCAGGGATCTTGACAGCAAGACAGTGTAGGGCAGGCCTGAGATGGAGCTGGAGGCCCAGATTAATTGCCCTGAGGAAGCAGGAGCTTTCTGGTCTGGTGTTGCTTGAACCTCAGGTGCTAGAGAAGTTTTCAGGTGACCAGATCCAATCTTCCAGGTGAGGAAACTGAGACCAGAGAGGGACACCACCAGTTGCACCACTCGGAAAGACAGGGTAAGTCCACGCACGAGCCATGTCCCACCTTCCAGTCCACATTCATTGCCTTCAACATATAGGTAGGTGGTGCTTATTCAGATGAAGGGGAAAGGATTTGGGAAAGACCTCTAGGCCCCACATGGGGTCTTGCCTTGATAGTACTCATTTCCTGCCTCCTCCTCAAGACTGCAGTTGAAGAGGGAGCTCCAGTTCTAAGGGAATCCCAGCTTTCTGTAGCCTCAGAGTGCTGGGATCTCTTCCTGCTGGGGGGATGGGGCCACATCCTAGTCTGAAATGTCCTTGCTGAATGTCCCTTTGGGAATGTTAAAGGCGGCTGTCGTGGACATCTGCTGGGAGTGGGTCCTTGTCCCTCAGCTCAGGGTCGGCCCTGGAGGGATTCTCAGGCCTGCCTTGAGCCTCAGAAGGGAGGCAGCCTCGGAGGCAGGCCCTCACGGATTCTTTCACTTCAGCCTCCAGGCCCTTCATCTTGGCCTCGTATTCCTTCAGCGCCTCCTGCTGGAACTGTGGAGGCAACAAGGATCATCATCTGACTCAGGAGAGGACAGCTTCCCCTGCTCTCTTCCCTGGGATGAAATGTCCAGAGACTGGGAATGTCCAGTGGGGTGGGAATCAGGAATCTCTCAGATCCCGAGATTATAGAGCTGTCTCATTTGGAAAGGCCTAGGGCCATATGGAATCTAGAGTCTATGACTCATCACGACAACGTCTTCAGACCCAGACCTCTTGACTGGAAGCTCCCTGGAGCATGAACAGGGCCCCTTTGCACCCTGAATCAAGCCAGGTAGGCTGTACTGGGGGCCAAGGTAGAGCAGTACTCTTTACCTGCTTTTCCATCTCCCGGATCTGTTCCAGGCAGGCTGCCTGCTTCTCCTCAAGCTTCTCCTGGTGCTTCTCTAGTGTCTCTGTCATCTGGGTGGGAGTAAGAGTCAGGGCGTCAAGACAACATTCAGACAGAGCCAGACTGGGTTCATGACTGCATGAACAGCTTACCAGCTGTTAGACCTTGGACAAATTCCTTACTCTCTGAACAGTTTTGTGGTTGGTTTGTTTTTTAAAAAATCTATAAAGTGAAGAAAATAGTTCCTGCCTCATTGTGTTGTGAAGAATTAATGAGACACTACACGAAAGCACAATGCCAGGTGCAAGGGGAGGATTTAGTGGATGTTAGTGCTTTGTTAGTATTATGGCAAAATCATTGTTGTAACCCCAGGGGACTTTGGGTCCATTCTCAGCAGGGCTTTCCTTCTGACTCCTTAGACCCTTAGGAGGCTCCGCTCATTTCTTTATCACTTTTCCACCCCACTTGCTTGTTCTGCTGGCCAGTTCATCCATATAATTTCCATCTAGTGCATCTTGGTAGAGGCAGACTCCTTTAGGGTGGTGCCTCAACCTTCATACATAAGCCAGAACCCTTAGATACTCTAGGGACTCCCCCATCTCCTGCACTACCTCCTTCTAACCCTAACTGCTTGCACAACTCTGATCAGTGCTTCTCCTAAGGGCAAGTTCAGGGCCTGGAGCCATCCACCCTCGAGTGGAGAGTGTGTGTGTGTGTGTGTGTGTGTGTGTCCCCTTACACACCTGTTTGATGACTTGCACCACTTCCTGGATGTGGGAGCTGTTAATCTCTCTTTTCAACCTGTTGGGGTAATAGAACTTCAGAAAAGGCAGGAAGACCCTGTGGGGAGCTGGGTGGGACTGAGTGTCCTCAGCATACAGGCAAAATGGGAAATCCATCAGAGGAGCAAATATAGAAGCCTAAGGAGTATGTGAGAGGACAATGGGGGTCTAGGAGACCCTCTGAATGAATGGCTTCCTCACCCTCCTTCAAGGGTTACACTGAAAGGCACAGGTAGGAAGAAAAGCAGCAAGAGAGGACAGGCTTTTGTCCCAACATACACCTTTCTCTTTGCATTCATTTTTCTTCAGAAAATTCTGTGACCATAGGTGGCAGAAGTGGGATCAATATGCACAAGTCAGGGAAGAGGCACATCTCCGGGAAGAGAGGCAGGATTGTGGAGCAGCCTCTTCCCACATGGAGTGGGCATGTGCTCAGTCTTGGACCTGATCTTTGAGTCCTGAGCCTCAGTTCAGTGGCTCACCTCTCCTGGGCCATTTTGTCTGTAGTGACCTTGACCATGGCCTGGATCCGCTCTATCCTTTTGGTCTCCAGTTTTTTCTTCATCTCTTTGGTGTCACTGAAGAGAGACAGGCATCAGGGAGATGTTTTGTGGGGCCTGACCCCTTCCCTACTGGAAGGTGAGAGGTTTGGGAAGGGCGCAGTCATACTTTTCAGAGGTCTCCTTGAGGGCCTTCAGCTCTGCGGCTTGTTTCTCTCGGGCAAGCTCTATCATCTTGGCAATTTGCTAAGAACGAAGGGGGGGCTTAGTGAGAAGGCTTCTGTTGTGCGGAGGGTTTGAGGTTGGTTGTGGCTTCAATGGTCTTCCACATGTTCCTTGAAACTCCCTAAACGTCCTCCTTCACCTGCGCCGCCCCCCAAGTGATGGCAATCTTTGAGGAAGGGTAGAGAAGAGAGGGACAGATTTTTAGCTCAGGACCCCAGCTCTGGCACCTCTGCCATGTTCTGCTCCTTGCGCTTCAGAATGCACTCGTACTGTTCCTCGCCCTGCTGCAGCAGCTCCAGTTCCAGCTTCTCCTTCAGCTCCCGCACGCGAGCATCTGCGCCCTCGGAACCCTCGCCTGATGCCTCTTCACCGGGCAGCGTTCTGCAAAGGCCACGTGGGGACAGGCCCTGAGTCCTGGGCTCCCGCGCCAGCGCGGCAGAGGGCAGGGCGTCTGCCGCCCAGTTACCTCTTCTTGCGCGAGCCCTTGCTGGAGCCGAGCTTGCGGCCGCTTCCCGCGCAGCCCGGAGGCCCGAGCCCAGCCAGCTGCGCCGCGCCCCGCTGCAGCAGCTCCTCCCAGCGCCGTGCGCCCCGCCGCTCCAGCTCCCGGAGCTCCTTCTCCTGCCGCCGCTGCAGCTTCGTGATGCCCTTCAGCTCTCGCAGCTCCTGGAGACTGGCGGTCTGCGGCTCTGTGGAGGCGGTGTAAGTGTAGCAGTGTCCCACACCCCACCCACACCCTGAGCCATAGTCCTACCCTGGACTCCTTCCTAGGATTCCCAAGGCTCAGGAGGCCTTACCTGCAGCTTCTTTCAAGGTCTCTTCTTTGGTCCTGGTCCCAGCAGCTGAAAGAGCCATAGAGTGGGCTGAATGGTGCTCTGAGTGGGCTGAACTCCCTGCCCCCTGGGGATATCAGCCCTGGAGTTTCAGAAATATCAGCCCATCACAGTGCACATGACCTGTGGACATAGCCCTTCCCTTCCAGATGAATGTCTTTATTTTAGAGCTGTCCCCAGCCTGAGATGTGCCTGTAGGTAGGTGCAGGGTGTGGGCCCTCACCCCTCCCAGTAACTGAAAACCTGAAAAACATACCTGCCGACCCATTGCTTGTTGGACCTGAGGCCCCATTGATCTGGCCAGCGACTGGGCTCTTGGGTGGGAAGGGCTTCTGTGTAGGGAGGACAGGTTAAGAAGGTCATTCTAATAGCCCATGTCCTTTCTTCCTGAACCTGTGGTTCCACCCCTCCACATCTTCCCACAAAGAAAACAAAGATCCAGCATAGTCCCACCCATGATCCATGCAGCACAGACCTCAGGCAGACCTCCTCCCATGGCCTCTTTGAGCTTCACAGACTTCTTATCATGGGCACTGAAGAACTTGATGGGGTTGGCCAGGGCCACAGTGAGATCTGGGTGCACAGGGGCATCATGGGCCTGCTATGAAGGTGTCCCTAGAAGCCTTCTCCTGTCCTCACCCCTTTCTACCTGCCTCTTTTTGGAGGCTAGTTTGGGCTTGGGGAAAGGGGCCAGCCTGGAACTCCCAGCATGCCGTAGGCCTCCTACCTGCCCAGGTGTCAGGCACATAGTCCTTCATCTCCAGGAAGACAAATAGAGCAGGCATAGTAAGGGGCATGTTGCTCTCACTGCGCAGGCACAGATGATGGTATCCTGGAGGCCACGGTGGGTGGGGTTAGCACAGAGCATTCCCACCCAGCTCTGTACAAGAGCAGATCAGCCCAGTACTAGGAACTTCTAAGTGCCAGGACTTAGGGACTAGTTCAGCACATTTCTGGCTGTGTAATCACAGGCGAGTTATTTTGCCTCTCTGGGACTGTTTCTTCACCAGTGAAATGAAGATAATAGTATCTACCTCATGTGGTTATTGTAGAATAAGTGAGAATGTATAATAAGTTGTTAGGGCATTTTACTTGGGAAACTGCCCTAGTAGTTCCCAAAACTTAGACTTGTGTATTGGATAAATCAAGTCCTCACCTCTGTCAGTTCCTAGAAAGGCACTGTTCCTACCTCAGCCCTGTGATGGATACCTTGAGGATCTAGGGTGAGGTTTCAGGGCCCCCACCATTGGGACAGGTTCCCGACACTGGCTTTCGTCTCGGGCTCCCAGAGAAGTGAAGGAGGATGCTTCTCCTCACCTGAGTTCAGTGCATTGATGGGGATGATGCGGTGCCCAAGAAACTTGTTGTTCTCTTCCATCACAGCTACCCTGAGGGAGGCCAGCTCAGGCATCATGATCTGAGGAGAGGTAGGGGCAGGTCAGGCTGGGGAAGGAAGAGTGGAACGGAGCTGCCCTCTCCTTGGCTTCAGAAGTCTAACGATCAGTATGAGAACATGGCAGGTGTTCCTGTTTGGTGAGGATTGTCGGGGGCAGGTCTTGGCTGGTCCCCACAGGAAAGAAAGAAAGGCCGGGTATGCAGCCCCAGGCTCAGGGAACTCTGATGCAGGTAGACCCTGGCAGCTTTGTCAATAAGTACCCAGTGGAAGCCAAAGGTCTCCATGATACAGTGGGTGCGTGCGTGTTCCTTGGCCTGATAGTTCACATTTCTGCCTTTAGGCCTGACCTGTGTGTGTGTGTGTGTGTGTGTGTGTGTGTGTGCGCGCGCGCATGATAGGCACACACATGTGCATGAACACACATACATATGCAAACACACACAGCCTCTCTACCAAATAAACTTCTGTAAAATCAGTTTTTGTTCTCTTAAATTCAGTTGAGTGGGGAGGAGAAGGATCAAGGAACTCCCTTTATTTCCTCTTTCCTAGAGTAGAAGTCAAGACCTTAGAAGTCAAGAAATAGAAATAGATCCTTGTCTCTGCTCTGCTCTTGTTCCCCACCTTCTCAAAGACAAAAGGATCCTCTTTCCAAACAGGGTTGATGGAGTTGGGACTGGGTGACAGCTTGGTGCGGTAACGCCTCTTGGGGTCCCCAGGAAGGCCGAACAGCTCTACTTCCACATACGTGCGCACACTGCGGTCGGACAGGAACTGGCCAGAGATCACCTGGAGGCGGAACCCAGGACAATCAGCTCCCCAAACTAGACTTCCCAAAGCACTGGGCCGCTGGCCTTGTATAGTGGAAACAACCATCCCTGGGTATTAAGGGGGTGTCCCAGAGGTGGTGTGGCTCAGGGGTTACAGCTCAGTGCTGGCGTCCAGGGTGCTTCCAGCACTGAATGAAGAGGGGCAGCCTTGCCATCTCCCTCCCCAGACAAGGGAGGGACAATGCCCTCCCCCAAGTCCTGGGTCTCTGCTGCCCTGTTCTGCCCATTCTTCCTCCCCTCCCCCACACCAGCCCCAGCCCTTCCCCTTGGTTTCCATGGGGACCAAGAGGCAGCCTCCAGTGCTGAGGAGGAGGCAGTTTCCAAGGCAACTTGCTACTGCACAAACTGGCTGGGGCTGAAGTTTTCAGGATATCAGGGGAGGGGGTTGGGAGTAGAGGAGTGAGGCACCTGCTTCTTCTTCTCAAGACCCCAGCCCTCCCAGCCACCGCTCTGCCTTTGAGTCTTGCCGTAATGGACAGAGTGGTGGCAACCACCACGTCGATGCGGTCCACTGAGAAGGGGTTGAACTGCTTGTCTGGCCGGCGCATAAAATCATGCTTGAGAAGGTAGCCGCTCTGCCCATTGAACTCAAACAACGCCATATTCTGCTGCATGGGCAGGTCTGGGGAGACAAGGGCACTTGGTGAGGAGGCTCAGCCGGGAGTCTGCAGCCAGAATCTACATCCTATCTCCCAGCCTTCCCTGTTTTGTGAATGGGGAGGTTGGGCGGGCCCTGAGGGTGAAGGTTTCCCGTGTCACAGCCTGATCCTTAGTTGGGGCTAACAACCTAAAGTCAGCTGAAAGCAAAGCCATGACCAGACTGCAAGCCATGGAGACTAGCAGCGAGAGCCAGTGACCCAAAAGATCCTCACACAGGGCTAGACCCTCGCCAGCACCTTGGCATTTTTGCATATATGCTCATAAATGTACAGCCATATGTTGTTGTCATGTCCTGTCAAGTTGGAACTGACTCATAATGGCTAACCTACTCTAACGGGTATTCAGAGGCTGTGAATCACAAAGAAGAAGACTAGCCATCTTTCTCCCTTGGAGCAGCTCGTGGATTCAAACCACATGCCTTTGTGGTAACAGTGCAACTCCTTACCATTAGGCCACATGAGTTCCCTGTCTAACTATATAGGATCAAGTTAATGCATTTATACCACACACCAAATATTCTTACCCATGTACAAACATCAAGATACTACCAGTCTTAAAGATTTCTCCAGGGAGGGAGTGAAGACAAGAGGACAACGGGAACAAGGATGTTTCAGGGACCTAGCATGCTCTCACCCATCGTCTGGAAGTTGAGGGCAACCATCTGGCAACCAGCATTCCAGAACATCTGGGGCATGTAGTTGGAGGAGTCCACGCGCGTGCCCTTGGGGTAAATACGGCTCATCTGGCGCTTGTTATAGCTGTCCTTAAGTATAGGAGCCTGATCCCAGGCCATCTGCAGTGGGAAGGACTCAACAGCCCACCCCTAGAAGCCCTTCCCCAGTCCCCAACCCTAAGCAGGGACGCCGGCTATGGAGGCTTCAAGGATACTCCACAAACTGCACTGAGGCTTTGGAAAGCAGGTCGTAAGCCTTGAGCTCGGTGAAGGAGGAGATGACATAGCTGCGGTTCTTCTCTGTGCAGGGAAGAAAGCAGGGTGCCCACATCAGGCCTTCCACTCCCTCAGCCCTGCTCGGTGTTTTAGGGCAGCTCCCTCCAGCCTAGGGGTGCCTCCCATCCAGTATTTTCTCTGAGACCTGAGGTTTTAGGGAATCAAGCTCCTGGGGAACAGACATCGATCTAAATAGGTAACAGTTTGTGCCAAGGATAAAAAGCCTTTGCAGTGGGCATGTACTGGGTCCTAGAGAATGCCAGTATGTGGAATGGGCTGAGGATGTGCCCAAGGGGTCAGGATGTGCCCAAGGGTCAGGTGCATGCTGTGGACTTGCACTGTGACCAGCTACAATGAGTGAGGCATGCAAGCTTTGAATGCATGGAGTGAGGTATGAACCAAGTACTGCATGTTTGTGAGTGGGCACATATGGGGGCATGAGGTTGAGAGGGCATATATGTGGAGGTCCAAATGTGTGGGAGTGTGTACAGAAAGCAATGCATGCTGGGGACATGTCCAGGAAATGAGAGGTATGCCCTGTACATGTGTCCCAAGAAGATAAGGGTAAATAGCATGGTGCACTCAAAAGATGAGGATGCCGGCCTTGTTTCTCAGCCTCTTATCCTCTCTTGGGACCAGGGTTTCTAAAATTGGCTCAGTCCAAGACACAGCTCAGTCTTGGGAGAGCTCAGCTGTTGGCTCTTTGTCAGAGCCACAGAACCCCCAGGGCTGCAGGACTTCCAGACCAGCCTAGCTGGGGAGGGGGGATGGCTTGTCAGAAACGGCCTGCCTGTTGCCGACACTCTCCAGAGCATTCCACTTGGTGCCAAATTCTTCAGTTCAGCACTGAGAAACTGGGAGCCATGGCCACTTAAACAAACCGTTTGCCTGACTCCTCTGCTGAGTGTTTATAGACAGGATCTGAGTCCAAGGAAGGGGGAAGGTCAGTCCTCAAACATCTCAAGACATGCTTCTTGACAAACTTCTGAATGTTGCCTAATCCCCAGTTCCTCTGCTGCACAAGCAGCAGCCCACAATAACTCACGTGCAGAGAACTCAAAGGAAATGAACTTGGTGGGCTGGATGTAATTGACTAAGCTGGACATCTCTTCGTAAGCTGTAACCTCCAGCCCTGCTGTGCCCTGGGGAGGAGGGAGGAGGGTAGAGAGAACATTGCTGAGCCCAAGATGCCAGCCCCACTGTGCACCTCCCCACTCCCTGCAGTGGGACACAGGAAAGAGTCCCTGGAGGACCGTCACACACCTCATCTGACTGCATCTTCTTTATCTCTTCTTCATCCAGGCTTCCAGACTCCTCCTCATCCTCACCGACCTCTTCCTCCTCCAGTTCAGCTCCTTCCTCGCCAGTCCACACTGTGACACAAAGCACAGTCAGCTTTGGGGACATTGTGGGACCCTTGGGTCCAGTTGCCTCCCTGGCACATTTCCAGGTCCAGCCCCATCTCTCCTTCTCGAGACCCCCACCACCTTCCTTTCTGGCTGCCTCACCTGTGTCCTCCTGCACTTTGAGTGGGCAGCTGCCCTCAGCCTCTCCACTAGGCTCCTTGCTGGGGGATATTGGACCGGAAAACTGGTTTTTCTTGTTCTTTATGAGGATCTTGCCCCGGAGGTCCTCAGGACTGGGCAGAGGGGTGCCTGGCTTTAGCTGTGGGACAGGAGAGAAGGTCAGCAGGAGTAGTCTACGCTCCTTCACATCAAGTCATGTTCTGCTGGCCCCTGTCTACTTCTCTAGCTCCATCACTCATCACTTCTGCCTCGTATATTTAACTCCTTTCTGACTGAATTGAACCCGGTTTCTCAAATTAGATGCCCTTCCATCTATCCAGAACACCCTTTCTCCGCTCTACCAGATAATTCCAGTTTGTTCTTCAGGCTTCCATTGAAACATCACCTCCTCCAGAAAGCTTCCCTGAGCTCCTAAAGCCCGGGCAGGACTCCTCAAGTGTGCCCATAGCAACGACTAGGTGGTCTGGTTTCTTATCTGTCTGCTCACTAGAAGTTAAGTGACCTGAGGACAGGGACTGTATCTTGATCACTAATACACCTCCAAAGCCCAGCCTGGGACTGATATATGGTGGATGATATGGTCCTAGCCCCTCAACCCTTCCAAAGGAACCCCAGTGTCCTCTGGGCACAGCACATTCTGTATCCTGGAACCTGCCCTGCCCTGGGCTCCCAGACCCAGAGACTCCACAGAGAAGTCCTCTCTGCTCACCGGAAACTTGTCCAGGGGTTCTGTGAGCAGCATGTCCCCAAACATCGTCCGGCAGTACTCGGCCATCTTAGCCTGTTGTCGGGGTCTGCAGAGAGTTGGAGGGGATGCTCAGCAACTCAGTCCCAACTCTTGTTCATCCTAGATCAGGGGCCCAGGAGGTCAGAGATGCAGGGTCTCAAAGAATTCCAAGGAGATTGTGTTGAGACCTGGGAGAGAGCTGGAGGGATGACCAGGGGCTGGGAGCAGTTAGGAGAAGGATGGAAACAGGTAGGAAGCCGAAGATAAGAAGGAAAATGAGGCTGAATACATACGAGTCCACATGGTTTTCAAATGACAGGATAACGGGATAAGGGGAAGTCTTGAAGGCACTTTCTGCAATAGCTTCGATGGCTTCCTAGGGGAGAAAAGGACTGATGGTGGTGAGGTCAGTGCTTCAAGCTCCCCTTCCTGATGGCACCTTTCCCCACTCTCAGCTTTAACACACATGTAACTGGATGTGCATAGCTGGCCCCCAGCCCCTCAAGTCCCTCTCTAGTTCCTACTTTCCCCTCCTTCTGCTTTACTAGCATCCCCCATCTTCCCCCAAAAGCGCCTGGCCCAGGGCCCTTCTTTGTACCATCCTGTCAGTCCCCACCACACCTCAACCCTCACCTTGAAGAAGATGTCTGTGGTCATGGTGAAGCCATGCGTTATGATGGGCTCCTCATCAGGGGGCTTCCCCTTCCAGCAGTCCAGCTCCACACAGCGACAGCCCGACAGCAGCACCTGACGGTACATCTCAGCGGAGGAGAGGCCTGAGAACTGGCTGCCTGCAGCGGGAAGGGGGCAGAAGCATCAGTCCAGGGCAGTTGAGGCCACCGCTACCCCACTGCCCTCCCTGCTGTCCGGCTGGCAGGGTCAGCAGCATGTAGACATCCCCTGCTGAGGACTCAGCATCTACACGAGGAGAGGGCAGCAGTGAGGTTGCCGGGACCTACCTGTCAGGTAGGTGTTGTGTGAGGAGTTGATGAAGTAATGATTGAGTGGCTGTGTCATGTCATGGTGAAGCAGCAGCTTGTCATGGGCCAGCACGCTGTTCTCTGGCCCACAGAGAAACCAGACCATGCCCTCAGGTGACAGTTGACCTGGAGGACAGGGTATATATGTCAGGAGTATGGCCCAGCTGCCAGGCAGGACAGAACTGTGGTGGGTGAGGAGTTCTCACCCCTCTGCACGTTGATGCCACTGGGTTCGTACTTCTCAATGAGGCCCTGCACTTGGTCAGGCCGTGCGGGTGGGAACAGCAGGGTGTTGAGCCGTGGGTCCCTCTGTTTCTGGTTGATAAACTTGGTTAGATGCTCCTTGGTCATGTAGGGCTTAGCCTTGGCATGACTGTAGACCAGACAGAGAAGCCCAGGTTGGCATTCACTAAGCTTTCTCAGGTGGATCCCAGCATGGTGGGTGGGAGGAAGAGATTGCTAGCCACCACCCTGTACCCATGCCAACCCGAGCCCGAGAAGCTCACTAGGAAGTGAAAATCTCATCTATTTCTGGTCGAGGACAGAGGCTCATGAGGAAACTCTTGTAGACAGATTCTGGGAAGTCCTCCGGATTAATGGCATCATTCTGGGAAATAGAAAATTATCTCTGATGAGATACCATCTCACCCCAGCAACAATAGCAAAGTTCAATAACATAGTAAACAACAATTATTGGCAAGGATGTGGAGAGATTGGAACCCTCATACACTGCTGGCGGGACTAAAAAATGGTGCAACCATTATGGAAGTACTTTGGTATGTCCTTAGAAAATTGGAAATAGAAATACCATTTGATCCAGCAATTCCACTACTAGGTATAGATCCTAAAGAAACAAGTACTGTGACAAGAACAGATATATGCACACCCATGTTTATTTCATTGTTATTTACAACAGCAAAAGGACAGAAACAGCACAAATATCCAATGGACAAAAGGTTAAAGAAACTGTGGTACACGACCTATAATGTTAGCTGCCATCAACTCGAGTACACTTCATGGCCACCATATGAATAACAGATCTGAACCCTGTTCTATCCTGTACCATCTTCACAATCTCAGACTCACTCAAGCCCATTGCTCCAATCACTGTGTCAATTCTGATGTAGTTAATGTCATTAACTTGTACAGTTAAACTTATTAAAATGGCAAATACTGTTATAAAAAATTAAAAATATTTTAAATGTAAAAAAAGGAAACTGTGACACATTCACACAGTGAAGTACTGTGTAATGCTAAAGAACAATAAAGAATTTTTTTTAAAAAAACACTGTATAATATGGATACACCTACAGGAAATTATGTTTAGTGACATAATTCAATCTCAAAAGAGCAAATTTTGTATAAGACCACTATTGCAAAAAGCTAAAGGATGGCTGGTTTGTACACAGAAAGACTCATTCTTGGATGGCTACCAGGGATAGAAAGGGAGGGAGAGGGGAGTTAAGATTAAGTTTTAAAAAAAATAATTATCTTAACATCCCTGGTCTCATCTCTTCAGTTAAAAACCCACAACGTTGGCCCAGTCCTGGACACAGGGAGCGCTCAGGGGAGAGAGAAGACCATCATGGACACCATGCCACCAGTTTCTTAAGGCCTTGATTGTGGAGCAAAGAACACGCTTGGTTAGTTTGCTTTGCCTCTGAATTTGAACAATAGCTAGTCTTTAATATATAGAGCAAAACTTACAGAATTGAAAGGGAAACATAGACAATTCAACAATAATAGTGATGAGCCTACTTTTAATAATGGACAGATCAACTTGGCAAAAAATCAACAAAAAAATTGAAGACTTGAACAACACTATAAAGCAATGAGGCCTAACAGATATTTATGGAACACTCCACACACATCAGAACACACATTCTTCTCAAGTGCACATGGAACATTCTGCAAGATAGACCATATGTTAAGACACACAACAAGTCTTAGGAAATTTAAAAGACTGAAATAATACAAAGTATGTTCTATGACCCTGATAGAATAAAATTAACAATCAACACCAGAAGGAAATTTGAGAAATTCACAAATATGTGGAAATTAAATAATGAGTCAAAGAAAAAATAACAAAGGAATTAGAAAATACATTGAAAGGAATGACCATTTGTTTTATTGACATGAAAGACAAGTACACCATACCAAAACTTACAAGATGTAGCTAAAGCAGTACTTACAAAGGACCTTAAAGCTGTGGATGCCTGTAATTAAAGAAGAAAGATCTCAAATAACTTAAACTTCTATCATAATTTTAAGAAACTAGGAAAGACACAGCAAACTAAACTCAAAGAAAGGAAAGTTATAATAAAGACCAGACAAAAACAATTAAACTAGAGCCTAGAAAAGCAATGTTGTTGTTGATTGCCCTCAAGTGGAGCATGACTCATAAATTCATAGCGACCCTGTGAACAAGAGGCCTGAAGCCCTTCCACAACCATCACCATTTACCAAAGTGCACAGAGTTTCCAGAAGCATGCTGTTTAGGAAGTGAATGCCACTCCTGTTTCCAAAAGAATAGTGGCTCAATAAAACCAAAAGTTAAGCTTTTGAATATATAAACAAAATAGACAAATCTTTAGCTAGACTTACCAAGAAGAAAGAAGTCTCAAATTAAAAAAAAAAACAAAAAACCAAAAACCCAAGAAAAAAAGGCGGGACATTACTATCAATCTTACCGAAATGAAAATTATTGAGAGGGATTTCTTTGAACAATTGTATGCCAGTATATTAGATATTTTAAATGAAATGGATAAATTTCTAGAAAGACACAGACTACTAAAACTTAAGAAGTAGAAAATTTAAATAGATTTTCAATCAAGAGATTGAATTAGTAATTGAAAAACTTCCCACAACAAAAGCCCCAGATTCAAACAGCTTTGTTTCAGTTAAATAGAATATTTAAGGGAAAATTACCATCAATCCTTCAAAAACTCTTCCCTAAAAAAGTCAGAAGGAATACTTTCCAGCTCATCCTTTAAGTCTAGTATTACCCTAACACCAAAACCATACAACAATCCTATAGGAAAACTAAACTTTAATATCTTTTATGAAGAGACAAAATTTTAAATAAAACACAATAGAAGGCAAATATTTGTAAAAAGGATTATATAGCATAGTCAAGTAGAATGTATTCCAGAATTTCATATTGATTTAATAGACAAAAAAATCAGTCACTGTAACACATCATATTAATGGAATAAATGACAAATCCACATGATTAATTCAATAGAACCATTTGACAAAACTCAATTCACTTTCATGATAAAAGCACACAACGAACTAGAAATAAAAGGATATTTCCGCCTAATTAAAGATGGAATGTTTTACTCTCCCCCAAAATAGTCACAAAATGAGGATGTTTTCTGTTGCCACTACTATTCAGTAATGTGTTAAAGGTACTATATAGGATAATTGATCAAGAAAAGAAAAAAAAGACATACAGATTCAAAAAGAAGAGACAAAACTATCTGTATTTGTTGAAGTTGTAATTGTATATATTCTTAGAAGTGCCTGTGATCTTGCATATAGAAGAATCTATAGAAAACCATTATACTAATAAACAAGATTAAAAAGATACAGGATCTCTTTCTCCTTGCCTTTGAATCAGAACCAATTCATAGCTGACTCTCCAGCAGGTTTTCAGAGGCAGTAAATCACTCGAGAGGAGATTGCCTATCTTTCTCCTTCAGAGCAGGTGGTGGATTTGAACTACTCACCTTTGAGTTGGCAGGGCAACTCCCTTCTGACTAGGTCGCCAGAGCTCTCTAAGGTGTAGGATACAAGTACAATATACAAGAATCAATTGTATTTCTGTATGCCAACGACAAACAATTTAAGAATGAATTTAAGAAAACTGCCCCATTTAAGACACTATCACAAAGAATGAAATGTTTATGAATGATTTTTAAAAGGAACTGTGAAATTTGTACATTAGCAAATACATGTTTGAAAGAAATGAAAGAATATCTAAAGAACTAGAGATACTCATGAATCTTGAATAGTGTTAATAATATTAGATGGTGTGACTTCTCAAGCTTATTTACATAGTCATCACAATCTGTATAAAAATCTAACTGACTTTTTCACAGAAGTTGATAAACTGGTCCTAAAGTTCATTTGGAAAAAGCAAGAGAGCCAGGATAACCAAAGCTACCTTGATTTAGAAGACAAAATTGAAGTATTTGCACTTTCTGATTTCAAATCTTAGTGCAAAGCTACAGTAAGCAAGCCAGTGTGGTACTGGCATAAGGACAAATCAATGGTAGAGTATTGAGCAACCAGAAATAAACTCTCACATTTATGATCAACTGAGTCTCAACCAGTGGACCAAAGTAAATTAACTGGGGAAAAGAACAGTCTTTCTAGGGTAACTGGATATCTATCTGCAAAGGAATGTAGTTGAACCTCTACTTCACACCATAACCAAAAAAGTAAAAGAAAAATTAAATCAACTCCCTAAATGTAAGAAAGAACTACAGAAGTCTTAGAAGAAAATATCAAATTTTAATGACCTTGAATTAGGCAATGGTTTCTTACCTATAACATCAGAAGCACAACATATGCTTTTAATACACAACAGATCACACAGGCCTGAAGAAAAATTTTTAAAATGTGTGCTTCAAAGGGCACTTTCAAAGAAAGTGAAAAGACAAGTTACAGGAGGAGATAAATTATTTGCAAATCAGAAATTCATTTGTATATTAAAGAGTCATATCCATAATATATAAGGATCATTTCTAACTCAACAATAAGAAGACAAACCAATTGAAAAATTAGCAAAGGATTTTATAGACATTGCTCCAAGGAAGATACACAAATAAGCATATGAAAGGACTCATAACATCATAGTCATTGTAAAGCAAACCAGCTCACTGTCATTGAGTCAGTTCTGACTCAAGCACCCTGTGGGGCAGAGCTGAACGGCTCTAAAGGGTTTCTAAGGCTGTGTAGACTCACACCTTTTTTCCTGAAGAGCAGGCGGTGGGTTCAAGCAAGAACTCTTTCACTAGTATACTAACGCTTAGCCCACTGTGCCACCAGGACTCCTCACTACCCACTAACCAGATACCAAGCCCATTGTCATTGGATTGATTCTGACTCATAGTGACCTTCCATCAGATTTCCGAGGCTGTAAATGTTTATGGACACAGCCTACCTTTCTTTCTCCTGAGGGGCAAGCAATGGTGAAATCTACTCTCTGAACTTTTGGTTAGTGGTAGCACAACACATAATGCACTATGCCCCCAGAAGTTCTTTCATTATCCACTCAACTACAAGAACAACAACAACAACAAAGTTCTCCCTGCGGTTGAGTCAGTTCCTCCCCATTACCCCCTCCAGCACGTTTCTGAGGCTGTAAGTTTAGTGGGAGCTCAAATGGGTTAGTGGTAAGGAGTTGTACTGCCAACCCAAAGGCAGGCAATTAGAAGCTACCAGCTGCTCTGAAGGAGAGAGATGGACAATTGCTTTCTGTGTCATTTATTACCTTTGAAAAAAAAACCCTGGAAGGTCAGCTGTGAATTAGTTCTGACTTGAGGGCACACAGAAACAACAGCAACAATCTTAATGAGAGAAGATGCCCATTTTCTCACAGGAAAGGAGCCACTGATGGATTCAAACCACCAGAGACAAGTGGCGTTTTGGATAGCAGTCAACACACTGTGGAGTACACAACCAGAGCTCCTCCCTTCATCGCACACTGTGGTTGTTTTATGTGCCTAATCTGAAATGGTGGTTGTAGTTGTGTGCTGTCGAGCAGGAACTAATTCATAGCTGACCTTCCAGTGGTTTTTCAGAGGCTATAGATCACATGGGAGATTGCCCAGCTTTCTCCCTTGCAATCGCTGGTAGATTCAAACCACCAGGCTTTGGGTTGGCAGTGCAACTCCTTCCCACTTAGCCACCATCGCAATGGGGAAAGTCTGGAATTCACACAGGCAGGTGAGCTTGGATTCATGTAGACAGAGGTCTTGTTATATTTATTTCTAACCTTTCAAGTTCTCACCAAGAGAAATAATTTCGTGGAGAACAGGCTGTGCCCTACACAAGCCACTGGCTTAGCAGGGAGATGGGCCAGGGATCCATTCAGCTGCCCAAGCATGGACTCTGGTTCAAGATGACATCTGTCCAGAGGTTATGCCATTTGCACAAGGTGGCACCTTCTGAGGATAACTTTCATACAACTCATTGTAATTAAAATTTAACCACCTAATTTTACAGAAATGAGTAAGTGCTCTCCTGTGAGGCTCTGAATACCATGTCCAGACAACTCTGCCTTTAGTTTCATTCCTCTTCCCTTACTGGGTGCTGTGCTTTTGACTCATTGCAACCCCAAGTGTTAGAGCATAGAACTGCTTCACAAGGTTTTCTTTATTGTCATCTTAATGGAAATGAGCCTTGATGGCAGCAATTAAGTGTCCGCTGGCTGCTAAGCGATAGTTCCTCAGTTTGAACCTGCCCAATCATTCCAAGAAAGAAAGGTCTGGCCATCTGCTTCCATAGATTATGGCCCAGCAAACTGAGGCAGCTCTACATTGTCACGCAGGGATGACTGGGAGTTGGGATCAACTCTACGGCATCCAACAAAAACAATCATAAAAGAAGCAGGGCTCCAGGCCTTTCTTTCGTGGCACTGCAGGGTTAGAACTGCCTACTTTTAAGTAAGTAACTGAGCACAAGCCATTTGCACAGTGCAGGGGTCTCCTCTCCTAAGATCCTGCAGAGCCACCCTTCCTACAGCATTTCAGATCTCTGAAGACTGCGTCCTGACCCTGAGAGCTTTCCTTATCTCATTCTTTCAGGCATAGGTTTTTCTTTTTACTCTACTCGTTCTGGAAACTATTGCTTGCCACAAACACATTCATTCCACTAACTCCAGCCTCTGCTGCCCAGTGGGATGTAATGTTGATGAACCCGCTCTGAACCTACCATCTGTCAGTAACCACTGACTCTAGCATTAATGCGCTTTTCATGCTGTTGACTGGGACTGTGCTGCTGGTTCTGTCCTCAGTCTGCTCTCTGAGGCCAGCTTGGGAAGAATGGGAGGGAATTTCTTACCTTTCCTTTCGCAAGGTGGCAGGCACTGAGAGCCGCTTCCACCCTCTTCCGGTCAGCAGGAAACAGCTGAAAAAAACTGAAGGAGCAGAGAAAGGCACCAGACAGAAACAGAGGTCAGTTACAGAGATAGAAAGGTTTGGGACTCTATGTGGAACTGTGGGGAGAGAGTCGGGAAGGCTTACTTCTTCACAGGAATCTTCCCTTCCGTGTTGAGCTGCATCTTGAGCTTCACCAGGCTGGTGGGGCAGAAAGCAGCCGTCAAGGCCCTGGGAGTGGCTCACCTCACCCCACGGACAAAGACCAGGCAGGTCGGTCAGCACTTACATCTTGTCCAGAAAGGTGCTGCGGGACGCGTTGGTCGTCAGTGGATGCTTAACCAAGGCCAGCACATCCTCAGCCCAGTCCTGCAGGGCCATAGAGCACAGCGGTCAGGCCCCTGACCACACAGGTGGCCCACCCTCCTGCAGCCCAGGAATGGGTCTCTCAGGAAGTCTCAGCGATCCCGGATGTCAAAGCCCTGGGGCAGGTGCTCCCTGATACACCTTGCCCACATTCTCCTTGTAGGAGACAAAGTTGTGGAAGGTCAAGTCCACCATGTCGGGGCCGGACACCACAGTGAACGTCTTCAGCAGGAAGTTGTTGTCAGGAAAGTCCATGTTGAAAACATCCCGGAGCTTCTGGCTCTGGAGCAAGTGACCAACACAGTTAAGATGGGGGTGCTCCCTTCTCCGCCCCAAACTGCCTCTCCCTTTTCCTCCATCCCAGCCACTTCAACTATATCCCACAGGGGACAGAAGCCTTCCCTTGTTGGGAACCACAGGCCTCAGTCTTCTCCTCTCTCTGATTCCAGAGGCGGTGCTAGGGAGAGAGAGGTTCACAGGAAGGGATTAACCCAGATGGGCTGGAGGATGGTGAGGGGATAGAAAGGGGCCTGGAGTCTTATGTATTTTGTTCGCTGATTTTTGTTTGAACACAGACTCAGCCCCCAGCCTCAAGAATCCTATTTTCCATCAATCTCTTCCTCCAATTTACCTACCAACACCAGGCAAATCTAGGCAAACCAGTCAGAGGGTGGCAGGTGTCAGCGGTATTCGTCACAGTCTGGAGTGCTCCAAGGGCAGAATCTGAGCCAGTTTCCCAGAACCATGAAATCTTGACTCACTGGACCCTGATCCCAGAACTCGGAGCCCACAGAAGCTGGGAGTGGCCACAACCCCTCCTCCTTGGCTCAGGGCTGGAGTCCTTACAGTCCAGACCTTTGCCTCAGACAGCAGGTGTCCCATGCCTGTGGGAACTCCTATCCTGGCCCCAAGGGCCTGGTGGAGGGGTCTGGAGCCACCCAGAGTCTAGATTGCTACTCGGCCCACCTACCTTGGGTATCTTGGCAAATTTCCCAAAGCGAGTATCTCGGATGCTGGTGATATCTAGAAACTCCATCTCCTGGAGGGGGTCCCCAAAGGGAATACAGAAAGGGTGGGGGCAGAAAGTTCAGGTCAAGAAAGTAGAAGAGTGGAGGGACAATTATACTCCCTCAGGTTGCACTGTAGAGGCCAAGACAGACAGAGGCTTCTCAGACCCCAAATGTCCCTTCCCACCAGTCAGCTCTCTCTACTCATGGCATCCCCCACCTCCTCTCTCTGTTCCTTCCTGGCCACTGGAGTTCCTCTGAGCTGTAGCCTGCAGCATCTCCTTCACTGTCCTGGACTCTCCCCAGCCTCTCCTTCCCTCTCTTTTGTCTGGATACTAAGCTCTTTCTCTGATCTTTCAGAGTCCTCAAGTTTACCCAAAACAGAGCCGAGCATGGCCCTTTCTCTGTCTTCAGGGACTGCTGAGACAGAAACATCTGGGTCCCAGGCAGCTGGAGACTGTAATGACCGCAGTCTCCCTCCCTGTTCTGGGGTCTAATGTCAGAACAAACAGTTCCTGCCCACAGGACAGCCCCAGAGCTACCCTTCCAGTTCATTCTACACTCCCATCATCCACCTCTCCATCCCCACATGGCCAGGATACTGCCTTGACGCAGTGGATACGGAGGAGTGTCCAGAGACCCAGGGTCTGGTAGACAGGTTCTGCCTCACCTTGCTCTGATATGTCCAGTACAAGTAGTAGCCCTTGGGATCCACTCGGAGAATAACCGGGGAGGCTATTGTAGTTTCCTGCAGAGAGAAGGGGTCAGCTCTCCATTCTGAGATCTGAAGCCGAGCCTCTGACTCAGGCTGAGTCAGGCAGTGCTTTCAGAGTTCACCCTCATCCTACAAACTGCTTTTTCTGGGAAACTGAAAACATTTCCCATAATCCAAATAGCATAAAAAAGCTGGGCATGAACTTTGAAACGTCTAAACCTAAAGTGAGTAGAGATAGAGGATTGGCGATAGAATTTCTGGAAGTGCTCAAGACTTCAAATAAAGAATTTCCCTCTGGGCTCCTAACAAGGTCTTGCTCCTGCTTCAGCCTGTTTTGAAGGACCTTTGCTTGAATGAAGAAGTAGAGTATCTCTTTCTGGCCCACTGCTACTGTTCAGAAGAGCTTAACACAGTGAGCTAAGATCCCAAAGTTGGTGCACCTCCAAGACCCTGCCCAATCTGGTGCCTACCTATCTTCCCGCATGCCTGTCCTCCCCTCCATGTCTATCCCACCTCACCATCTCCTTTGTGTGTCCTGTACACCCTGAACCTGATGATCTAATGCTCTCTTGCCCAAAGCAGCCTCTTCAAAGCTCAGTGCAATGATTCAGTCATAAAAAGACTAACATTGTATAAGACTGCTATTATAAAAAGCTGAGGAAATGTGTACACACAGAATCATTCTTAGATAGTTACCAGGAAGGATAAGGGAGTAAATATTAGTAAATAGACAATAAACACATACTAAGATGTGTGGCGCGAAAGGCAATATATAGTAAGGGGATGGTTAGCACAATATTACTCAAAAAGGGGAAACTGATATAGAAAGATTAATAGGAGTCAGAATTAAAGAGAGGAAGTGGGGAAAGAGTGATTACATTGTAGGTATTAAAATGAAGGGTATAGAACAAAATGTATGTGAATGGCTGAATGAAAAAATAATTTGCAAACTTTTACTCAAATATAAAAAGAAGAAAAAAATTTTAAAAACCCAATAGTCAAAGCTTTACCTCTTCTGAAAAATCTTTCCTATAAACTATACTGTAATTGTCAGGATGATCTGACTCACAGACCCTAGACTCCCACCTGGTGATTCTCCAGGGTCCCATGGACTTCAGAGTCACCAGCTAATGCTCCACCATGAGTTTGACCCTCCAAATTTGCTGGATGAAAGGATGAAAGAGTGAACGAACACTTCTACATTTGTTTCACCCACAGAGCACATAGAAACCAAAGTCAAAGCCATTGCCGTTGATTCAGTTCCATGCACAGGACCCTAGAGGATGGAGTGGAACTGCCCCACAGGGACTGCCACAGCTTCTTCCCGGAGAGCAGCTGGAGAGTTTGAACTGCTGACCTTTCCATTAGTTGCTGAGCACTTGACCACTGCATCAGTGCCTTTTATTTTAGTGGTCATGTAAGTATAAATAACAAGGTATTAAAATTCAAGTAGCTGCATTCAAGCCAGGCCAAATGCAGAATTGACAAAGGAAATGATCAAAACCAAGTTCTTGATTAGTGATTGGAGGCCAGAGAACATTCTGGGAGAAGGCTAATTTTGGAGAAGGCTGTACTGTGCGCTACACCTCCCTCCTTCTCAAGTCACGGTTGAAGCTCTCATCCCCCCACCTTGAGCCTAGTAATAACTTTCAACTTAGAGAGTTTGTGTGACCTTCGCAGTTGTGAGAGCAGACCTGAGTCTGAATCCTGCACACAAAATGAAAAGTAGTGACTCAAAGAGCTAATTCTGTTTGAGGTGGAGCCGGAGAGAGACAAGTGTATTGGATGAGCTTGCAGCACAGTGTGTAGGGCAATGAATGCACGAATATTTGCTAGGCACCAGAATGGGCCTATGGGAGAAAGAGTTGGTTTGGGATCCTAGAGGAAAAGGGTTCAAACACACAGGAAGTTAAGAACTAGTTGTGAGTGATCACTTGAGATAGAGTTTTCTAGGCTATAACCTCTACCAGTCTCAGAAGAACATGAGTTACTCAAAGACCTTTTCTAGAAGCGCCGTAGCCCATCTGAAATCATTCTTAGGGTAAAGAGGGGAGAAGATGTTTTTAAAGTAAACTCATTGCTGTCAAGTGCAAATAAACTCATAGCTGACCCTCCAGGGAGTTTTCAGAAGCTATAAATCACACTGGAGTAGATTGTCTATCTTTCTTCTTCAGATCTACTGGTGGATTTGAACCGCCTGCCTTTGGTTTGGCAGCACAACTCCTTACCTACTAGGCCACTGGAGTGTGATTTCCCTGGGGCAGAGCCAGCAAGAGATTTTAACTAATATCTGAATTAAGACTAAGCTTTGTGACCCCAAAAAGTGTCCACAGGGCTATGTGCTATCCAGGAATAAGTGGAACATCTTGTGGCTTGTTGAGTTTTCTCCCAGGAGGGATTCTTCTCCCACCAAATACATTTGAAAGGGCTAGTGGGAGTCAAGATAAAGTCGGGGTTTGATTACACTCTATGCATTGTGCCTATTCAACATGGTGCTACACATTATGGCTACAGATCGTGTCATCTGCTGACAGTAACTGCACCAAAGACACAAGCAGAGCCCTGTCTCTGGGTATATGTCCTCATTGACAGGGTGTGGGAGATTCTGCTCATGGAAGTCAGGGTCCAGGGGGCACGTGGAGCTCTGCCTTGGAAGGTGAAGATGCCACCAGAAACACAGGTGCTGTCTTGGAAAGTAAGTTGCTTAGCCCTTCCCACCTCCAGTGACCCTCTGCCCAGCTGGGCTCCGTACACAGCCCAGAGGAACTAAGAGAGACCACTTCATTTTTCATTCTGAGTCACTTCCCAAACTCCACCAGCTCCTGGGACATGCCACCATCATGCCTCTTCAACCACATCATTCCTAGGGAAGTAGGAAGCGTCTCACCACAGGACCTCTATCCTACAGTCACAGCAACCAGATTCCTGAGCCCAACCCATCGTTGTAGGACCTGGAGCTCCAGTCTTCCTTAGCTCACAGACACAGAATCCCGTCCCCTCACCTCACCTCACCCTGTAAAAGGAGAAGCCAGTCCCCAGGTCACTTTGCTAATCCCTCACTGAGGTTCCATTTTCTCTTGCCAGCCCAACAGAGTTGCCACTGCCCAAAAGAAAGTCATCTAGCCCACCGAAGAGAACTCCTGATAAATGGCAGTATCTTCAGGATCTCAGAAGACCAGCGACCATGGACCAGGCTCCAGCTTGCCTGTTGTAGACACAGTGGGGACAGAAAGGAGGATCAAACAAGATCTTCCTCGCCCTCCTGGTCTCTGCAGACAAACGGCTGGCATGAGGCTGAACCCAGCAAGGGAAGCAGAAGCCCATCAACTCCTTGCCAAGCCTCTAGAACCTTCGATTCTCATATGGGACTCAGAAGATCTTTTGCTGCTGGCTCCACAATAGCCCAGACAGAGGGTGACTTCCTGGGGCAGGGCTAGTATGAGTAGGGAGGTGAAAAGATCCCTTTCTGGGGCGCTCTGTGCCCCAGTGGGAGTGAGGTGTCTGTGCTAAGAGTGGACACTGGACTCCTCTCAGCCTCTGGTCCGGCCTCGGCTGGGGCACATGTTTTCTCACTAATGCTGAGATCCAAAGCAACAGCTGCCGCTCTTCATGGAGATTTACAAGACAGACCCACATCCAGAGAATCCCATGACCACCCAGAAGTCCATCTCCTTCTCAGACTCAGACAGTCACACCCACGAAATCTCAGGGCCAGCACACAACCTGGCGCTCAGGGCTACCCGCTCACATGGCGGCCCAAACTTTCAGCCTTAGGTTTGTTTATCCAGTCAGTTGTATGAGCGCCTGGCTGACCCACACAGGCGCCTGCACCCCAGCAGACATAAACCAACCCATCACCCTGTCAAAACCGCACTGCAGCCCTGGCCCTGCCACCCAGCGCCTCCCCAGTCAGCCATCCCTGCTCCACTCACATCGTCCCACTTGATGAAGCGTTCGCCTTGCCTCAGATAGGCCTTCACCTCTGGGGGCAGCAGGACAGGGTTGAGCAGAGACATGGTGCCAAGTGTCCCTCTTTGGAGAAGCTTGGCTGGCACAGGAGGGCAGGAGGAAGGAAGGGGGGGGAGCCAAGCTGGGCTCACATGGCACCCGCCTTCTTGAGCTAGTCCGGAAGTCTGGGAGCTCTTATAGTCCACGGGATGGCGTGGCTGGGTGCAGAGCCGAGGCCCTCAGCCAGGAGCCCATCTGCCTTGTAAATCAGTCTCCTCCTGCTCTGACTATGGTGGGGGCTGTGGTCCCTGCTTCTGCCCAGGGAGACCCAGCTTCCCTCCTAGAAGCCCCCGCCCTCAACCCCTGCCTCTGCACTTCCTGCTCACAGCTTCCTTCTCCGTCCTGTGGAGAGCTGAGAAGCAGGTCATGAGGCCTGGCCATCGTGGACACCGAGTTCCTTAGTTCCCTGGATAGACCCTAGGGGCTGAGGTTTTGTGAGAGGAACAATATGACAACAAGCTGGGAAGACTGTTGGTCAGATCTAGCCTGAAGGAGGGTGCCAGGAGCCCACTGTCAGAAGGAACCTCCACAACAGTGGCCAGGAGGGGCTGGGACCACCCTGCGGGTGGGAGTTGAGGTAGGGACAGGACTCACCTGGAGCTGAGTGTTTTGAATAAGCAAAATTTGATGGACACCCAGCTCCTCTTTCTCAGTGCTTCCTTCCCATGAAAATGAGGAGCAAGTGAAGCAATCGCCCTTCACCCCTGACCTGGCATGCATTACTCCCTCCTCTTAGTTGGCTAAGTCTGGGCTAGGCCTGGGACCACCACTGACCAGCTACTACTACACACACAGTGCTACTCAGAGCAATCCATTGCCACCAAACCACCAAGGGCTCTCCTCTCAGACCCTCACCCCTGCTCTTTACCAAGGGACCCAGGATGAGAACACTTGGGGCATTGTGTTTGTTTGAGAGAGGGTTCAGCTCTGGGCCTCTGCTTGGGGCAGGTGGCTTCAACACTGCCCCTTGTCCCAGCTTAGCTCAGTCCCAGCCCACTTCCGCTTGCCTAACCTGCTCCTCTTATCACCCTTCTTAACCCAGCTGGGGAGGCAGGACTTCCTTCCTCTCCTGAGGGCCTGGTCTTTCTGCCCCAGGTCCAACCACCCAACCACAAGGCTCCGTCCCACTCCCTGTCAACTGTATGACCATCACCCAGACCCTAGAAGTGCCTCTGCTGGTGACTGTGAGCCAAGAAAGCAGAAGACAGGAAGCAGACAGGAAGATGTGCTTCAAGGAGAACAGTGTTATGTACCATAAATCACTATGCCACCAGAGCTCTCAGAGAAAATAGACTCCGTAAACTAGCGAGTTTGAGTTGGAGCTATGGCAACTTCTCACACAAAATCAACCCAAGGAAAGTAATCCATGGGCCAGAGAGGGGGAACCCAGAGCCTCATGGACACCACTCAGGAGCTCCTCTGAGCATCTCAGGTCCCTGCCTTCTGGACTCAACTCCTTCCCTCACCTGGTCTCCTGCTCATTCTCTATTCTCCATCCCTTTCCAGCCTCAAATCCTTCTGAAGCCCCTCTGGAAGCTCCTGCAGTTCTGATTCCCTCTCTGAGATCAGATTTCCTGTCTGTTTGAATGGATTTTGCAAGTGAAATCTCTGCCTCATCCTAAAGCCCTGCACCTGTCACCTGCAGCCAGTCCTTACTGCCTGCACCAAAGTCCGTCCCTCTTGTCCATCCTGAAGTCATCAGCACCCTCTCCACTTGAGGCCTAGAAAGACAATCTTGTCCTTCCTTAGCTTGGAGAAGGCAAAAGGACAGACTCTCTCCTCTCTTCACGAGGGTTGAGGGTACCACAGGGAAGGCAGAGGTGGTGAGATGCCTCACTCTGGTCCTTTTAATTAGTGGCTGATTGTGGCTCTGAATCCTTGGACCTAAGCCTTGACCATCATTACCCAATGATGGCGCAGTCTGAACCCAGGTCTGGAGATGCCACTGTAGCCTTGATGAGGGCCAGTACTATCCTCTCCTCCCCACATCCTGCAAAGTGAGTGCATTCAGCCCTGTGAATGCAGGAAATCCAAGCAGCATGGGGAGCTGGAGAGCCTGTTCATCAAGGGTTTTGGTTTTCTTCGTTTCAAAAATCGTTTTTCATTGTTTTGTAATTTTAAAAGTAAGTTGTCAAAGGCAAGTATCATCTAGATAGTAATAGAGAGGATAGAGGGATAATCACAAAGGTTCCAGGAATTCCTGACTAGGGCTCCTGGGCTGAGCTGGATAGAGGACACCCAGGCTGCCTGCCAATTGCCTCCCCACCACCACCATGGCTGGCAGTGATAGGGTGACAATGCCCCCTGCTGGGCAGGCTGGAGAGCATACACCTCCAGGGGAAAGACTGGGAATCTAAACAAAGCCCACTGGGAGGGGAAGTTTCCAGAGGGGTCTGTGGTCTGTACATTAATAGATGTGGAAAGTCTGGCACGTGTGACCTCTGGGTTGCAGAAAGCATGAAAACATCCAATACTGCCTGCCAGGGAGATGCCTGTTGCATAGAGTTCACAAGTCAGTGCCAAACTCCCTTGCTCATCAGCAGCTTTTTAGGGTAACATTTCTTTGGTTTCCCAACCTATTTGTTAGAGAAGCTAGTTTAAGTTGAACTCAGATCTCTGAGAGATACATTGTTGTTGTTGTTATGTGCCGTCGAGTCGCCTGCGACTCATATGTACAACAGCCCTAAACTCCGCTCTGTCCTGTGCCAATCGCACTGTCTCTGACACTCCCATCCCAATTATCCCAGTCACTGAATCAATCCACCTCAT